AGATCTCCAGTAGGATGGTTTGAGCTGGGTGAGGCTAGGCTCTTGGGTACAGACTTGGTCCAAGATGCATTAGATAAGGTGAAATTGATTCAGGAGCAGCTTCGCACGGCGCAGTCTAGTCAGAAGAACTACACGGACAGGAAGGTCCATGATGTGTCTTTTATGGTTGGGGAGAAGGTTTTGCTGAAGATATCACCCATGAAGGGTGTTATGAGGTTTGGAAAGAGGAGCAAGTTGAGCCCCCGGTTTATTGGGCCTTTTGAGGTGCTTCAGAGGATAGGGGAGATGGCTTATAAGCTTGCCTTGCCACCCAGCTTGTCGAGTGTGCATCCAGTGTTTCATGTTTCCATGCTCCGAAAGTATGTTGGCGATCCATCCTATATTTTGGACTTCATCACGGTTTAGTTGGAGGGTGATATGACTTATGATGTGGAGCCGGTGGCTATTTTGGATCGGCATATTCGGAAGTTGAGGTCAAAGGATATAGCTTTAGTGAAAGTGCATTGGAGAGGTCAGCCTGTGGAGGAGGCCACCTGGGAGACCGAGCGGGAGATGCAGAGCAGATATCCCCACCTATTTGAGACTCCAGTTATGTTTCTAGACCCGTTCGAGGACGAACGGTTATTTAAGAGGGGGAGGATGTAACGACCCGGCCGGTCGTTTTGAGAGTTATAGCCCCATTTTCCCATTTCTGCTTCCTTTTGTGCTTTTCAGCTATATTATATTATATTATATCGAGTTAGTTGGTTCGGGTCCGGAGTGGTTTCTGAGTGAATTAAGACACGTAGAAGCTTAAGTTGGAAAAGTGGAACGGATGTTGACTTATGTGTAAACGACCTCGTATTTGAATTTTGATGGTTCCGTTATCTCCGTTAGGTGATTTTGGACTTGGGAGCGCGTTCAGAATGAGATTTGGAGGCCCGTGGTAGAATTAGGCTTGAATTGGCGAAAGTTAGAATTTTGGCAATTTTGGTCGGTAGTAGAAATTTTGATATCGGGGTCGGAATGGAATTCCAGAAGTTGGAATAGGGCCTCGGAGTGATTCCGGGTGATTAACGGAACAAGTTTGGAAATTAAAGGAATTGCTGAAGTTGAACTCAGCTGTCATAATCACACCTGTGATGTCTCATCGCAGGTGCGAGCTCGCAGAAGCGAGCGGGAGATCGTAGATGCGAGATTGGAGGAGCTGGGCAGAAGGCGCAGGTGCGATAAAGTTTCTGCACCTGCGGTGGTGGTAGAAGCGGAGGGAGATGTGCATGTGCGCTTTCGCAGGTGCGAGATTTGGCCGCAGATGCGGAACCTGGGATCTTAAGTGAGTTCCGTAACTGCGATAGAAATTCCGTAGGTGCAGCGTCGCAGAAGCGAAAAAAGGGGTTGCAGGTGCGGTTTCACTAGGCAGAATGTATAAATTGAGGACTTCGTGATTTTTTGCTCATTTCCACCATTTTTAACTCGGACTTTGGAGCTTTTGGGGTGATTTTTAAAGGGGATTCAAGGGTTTTCACAGAGGTAAGTTGCTTGAGCTCTAATACTCCTAACTATGGTGCTTTCCCGTTGATTTCTCATCTAATTAGTGGAGTTTTGAAGTGAAAATTGGGGGTTAAGCTTGGGATTTTGGAGAGTATAATTTGAGAATTTGAGGGACCCAATGATGTCGGATTTTGATGAATTTTGTATGGTTAGACTCGTGAGTGAATGAGCTTTCGGGTTTTGTGAATTTTGTCGGATTTCGAGACGTGGGCCCTAGGGTCGGATTTGAGTCGATTTCGGGTTTTGAGTCTACTTTAGTAGTTTTCTTGTGGAATTGATTCCTTTAACATATATTAATGGTATTGTACTGCTTGTGGCTAGATTCGGGACGCTCGGAGGGCGATTCGAAAGGCAAGGGCATTGCGGAGTAGAGATTTGCTCGGATTGAGGTAAGTAACGGTTGTAAATCTAGTCCTGAGGGTATGAAACCCCGGATTTTTGTGTCATGTGACTATTTGGAGGTGACGCACATGCTAGGTGATGGGCGTGTGGGCATGCACCATTGGGTATTTGTGATTTGGTCCGTCTCGTAGCAACTTTAAAGTTGAACAACCTGTTGTAGCTATATGCTCTTTATGTGCTTTACAACGATTTACTATAAATCATGCTAGATACCATGTCTAGGCCTTATGCTTGTATTGTTTGGACCCTTAGAGGTCGTTTCTTGCTGTCGTCTCATTGCTTTAGTTGATATCCCATACTCAGTCATGTTCATGCATTCTTACATCATAGCTCAGTCTCTGTTATTCTATTTGTTACATCATGTTAATATTGTTTGGGCTGATTTATTTGATTTCTGAGAACCCAAGAGACTGGAGAGGTTTATGACTGAGTGAGGCCGAGGGCCTGTTTGTGAGGTATTGTACCAAGCACGTGAGTTGTCTGTGCGGATTCTGATATGATATTATAGCACATGAGTTGTCCGTGCAGCATGTGAATTGTCCGTACAGATTATAGCGCTTGGGCTGTAAGAGCCCCTCCGGAGTCTGAACACTCCTAGTGAGCGCATATACCTACTGAGTACGAGTGCCGAGTGCTGAGCTATTTTAAGGCATGGGTGATAGTGAGGCATGAGTGATTGTGAGGTTGGAGTGATTGGGAGGACTGAGTGAAGTTAGCCCGATAGGCAGTATATGATTTCATCATCCATGCTCATAGTTGTTTTGAGTCATTGTTTGAGAATTGAAACCACAAAATATAACACAATTTCAAAATCAACAACAACAATAATAATAACAACAACAAGCCTAGTGAAATCTCACAAGTGAGGTCTGGGGCAGTGGCAAAGCCACATGTACTGACCACCCTTCGTCGAAAAATTACACTGTGTATATAGGTAAAATATTACGTTTTAGAGGTATATAACACATATTGAATACCCTTTGTAGGGAATTTTTTTTCACTTTTTTCAAATTTGAATACCCTTAGGAAAATTTCTACTTTCGCCACTGGTCTGGGGAAGGTAAAGTGTATGCACACCTTACCCCTACCTAATGAATGTGGAGAGGTTGTTTCCGAAAGACCCTCGACTCAAAAGAAGTGAAATAAAGCAATAAACAGACAGTAGCAACAACCAGATAATTAAACATGGGCACAAATAGAGATACGTTTAACAACATATATCTAAGAATACAACATTATAAAAAATAGATTCAGTCTTGCTGAAAATAATGACACAATGTGAAATAGCAAGGGGCTAGACATAACAAAATACAAGACTGGTACTAATATTACTGGGATGCCTGGATGAAACTTTAGACTGTCTGCCAACACAATTTCAAAATCTAAAGAATAAAATAAAATAGTTTAACATATATCAAATTTCAATATAATAAAAATAAGTTCCAATACAACTTAAGATCGGAAAACATAATAAGTTTATAACCTCATTCAACAATGAAATTCTACTTTAATGGCATCACTCATTATATGTCAAGTTTGTTAATGACTCATTATTTCTAATATTAGGAGGTGTAGTTTCAAAAACTAGAATAATAACGCAGTTACACTAAATGAAAAAATAAACAAATAAGAAATAAAATATACAAGTAATTACATGGAATCACAAGGAGTAAAGGTAGAGAAATAAAAGATAAATAATGTACAATGAAAAATATATTTTAAATTAAAAAAGAAATTTAAAAGTAAAAAAAATAAAATAAAAACAAAAGGAAAGAATTAAAATAATGAAAATAAAAAGTTATAAAGAAAATAAATTAAAATAAAAAAAGAAAGAAATTATAAAGTAACCTTGTAATCCAAACAAGCTCTAAATGTTGCTAACATTTTATTGCAACATTAGTATGGGAGGAGAAAAAAAAAAGGCGACTATATGCTAAGCTGCTATATGCCTATAGTATGCTAGCGAAACCCGTTTTAATATTATAATGCTAATTAACTCCAACATCTCTTTTGTACTTCTATTAAACTTGATCCTCTTAAATTTCCGTTTGTTAAGATACTTTTCTTTAACAATAATACAGGAAGTTAGACACAGTGGTCACAAGCAACCAAAGTAAACTTCATCACATGGAAGAAACTTAAATGTGAAGAGTACCCAGCCCGAGAATTTCAAGACTTCATTTACAAGACATTTCCCTCCTAACTCAAACAAAATATGCAAAGGGAAAAAGATTGCTACTACAAATTGATCTTTTTGTAGTCAATCATCCCTAATAATTATTGAACCTTAAGGACAAAGTTTACATTTTTGGTAGTTTGGTTTTATGATACTATCACATGATATTTCTTGAACTACTAAAGATTATGGTGCGAGGATAAATACTTATTCATATTTAGAACCTGTTTGGTCATAAATTTTGTCAAAATAAATTTGGATTTTATTTGGCAGACACGTGTTTGGTCATAGATTTTGCCTATATTTTGGCAAAATCTCAAATTTCAAAAACAGCTCAATAGTTGGTTTTGGGCCAAAATATCACTGTTACATTTTTTAAAAATTGCCACAAACTTTTGTATTTTATAAAAGAGCCCACCATTTATTATTTTGTAACAATGTTGCTTTGTTTTTTCATTCACCTGATAGTGTATCGTGTAATTCATTATAAAAATGATAATTTTGTATTAAATTTATCAAATAAAAACTGACGTCCAAATACATTTTCATCTTCAAACCAAACTTCACTAAAATTAAATTTTTCAGAACAAATTTAAAAATCCATGGCCAAACTTTAGGTTAACGAGAGGTCTTGATTTCAAACTTTGCAATAAAGTTAAATCTGATAGGTAATTTTTAGCTAAAGTAAATTTTTTTGATCCAAATATGAATTAGTCAGAAAGGGATAATAACATGGTACAAAAACCAAAGAAAAAAGAAGACCATATTTTGAAAATAGAGTAGTGTTACATCAATGGACCACAAGAAGACATAATTTATCTCCCCTACCCCCACTCTGTTAGGTCCCCACATCAGCCTTTCTTCTTCAACCCCACCAATTTATTCCCATGTCCCAATGCTTCCCTTAGCCTCAACACTTTACACTTTCTCAACCTTAAAACTCTTCATTAACTTTGCCAAAACTCCTCTTACAACTCTGCTAAAACACAATTTCAAACATTTAAAATCTCCATTTGAGTAATAATGGAAGTATTTACTAGCTAATATAATGAAGTGTACTATCAGTTCTCTACTCTGTACTTCTCTCACTTAGCTGTTTTTCCAGCTTTTTTCATTCTGATCTCTTTCAATGTTTGTACAAACCCTAGATCTGTCCCCCTCTTAGGTAACTCCAACAACCTTTGCTCTCTATAACTCACACCAAAAAAAAAAACACGCACACACACACTGAAGCAACTTTATATTAACTGCAGTTGTGATAATTTCTGGGTGCAGCTTTTTTCTTTTTTGTGAAGTGGATAATATGAGTGGGACTACGACGAGGACGGTGGCGGAGGATGGTTACAGGCCGCCGTTCACGGCGGTGCAGTGGCAGGAGTTAGAGCATCAAGCAATGATATATAAGTACTTAGTGGCAGGTATTCCTGTGCCTCCGGACCTTGTTCTTCCTATACAACGTAGCTTTGAAACCATCTCTGCGAGGTTCTTCCATCATACTAGCTGTATGTTTCTCTTTCTTCTTTTAGTAATTCCCATTTTATTTTTTATTTTTTCATAATGTTGGTGTTAGACCAGCTTGCATGTACCTCAAATATTTCATCGGGCATTTGCATCCTCTCACCAGTACAGTTATCCAGTAACTTTGCCCACCTAGGTTCAAAGTCTAGAGGCGGATGGATCTCATTTCAGTAGGCGAACTAGTATTTTTGACACAAAATATAGATATATATGTGTATAAATTAGAGGGCTTAGTTCAAGTGGCAAAGGTTGACGGACGTGTGACTTATGCAAACTAAGTGTCGCTCCCAAACGCACAAGTATACGTGGTCGTACAAGTAATAAAATGATAAGTAGAGTGTCGAACCCACAGAGACTTGTATTAACTACCACTAAATTCACCACGATTGTTATTCAGTCGAGTCAATCAGAGTTCAAAAGTGTGATTATACTAAACAATAATTCTAACTAGTAACTATATTATCAAGCAGCAAAATGGTTGTTGTGTATTCAGTAGAGACAAATATTCCAGGGTTGTGATCGATTCACCAATCCTATTGTGTTCTAGTTAACTCTTCCTTTCATACAATTCACTCATGGTTGCTAATTAATCGAACAATTGCTGTCGTAGCCTTCCCCCGAAGTACTACTCGCCTATTCAAAATAGATTAACGCCTATATTCCTATGAAATCAATCTATTAAGAACGCATTAAGATTACGATATTTAATTAAGCACGGTGACTAGGTATATTCCTATTCTAACCACAAATCCCCCCAGAGTTAAGATCATGCTCTCTTCAATTCTTCTCTAATCTAAACATAACTTTCCCAAGCATAACATAGATAGTAAATAGAACCTAATTGCTGGCCAGACAATTAAGCAATTAATCACAGAATTAAAGAAACAACCATATATTAGTGAATTGTAATTAAAGTTAAGTCAACGTTAAACAACAATATTCATGACTAAATCACAACCCCAGAACTATGGGTTTTAGTCACTCATGATAGTATCAAACAAATTCACAAGTGTTGAATAATTGAAAATACTAAGAAAAGATGAAGAAAACTGAGATATTCTCGCTCCCGGATGTTTCTCGTGTGTATTTTTTCTTCAAAGTGGCGTCTCCCTTCTCAAAATAGGCTTAGTCTTGCCTTTATACGCGTTGGGTAGGTCTAGGGCCGAAATAACGTTGTCCCGGACAAAGTTGGAGAAATTCCCGTTACCAGCGCGCAGGGCAGCGTGGGACGCTGGCCCTTTGAGCATTCTGTAAATGGCGCCACAGGTGGCGTGGGGTGCTGCCTGTGGCGTTGCAATTCAACATTTTCTCGTTTTTCTCCGTTTTGGCTCAAATCTCGCACCTTTCGCCCCCTATTGCTTCCGGATAATTCCTACATATAAAAATACCACGAATTAACATAAATCAATACATTTTACATCCGAAATCTACGAGACACGAGAAAAACATGAGGCGATATACATATAAATATATGTATTTTAAACTAAATATTAACACCCTACACTTAGACTCTTGCTCGTCCTCGAGCAATGGGACTATCAAATATACCCCAACTACGTCCAAATCTCAACTAGAGAGGAACACTTCAATTTTTTTACCATACACGCTACCCTTGACTATGATCGACACCGGCAATCAAGCATGACCATACAAAATTCACATTCTTCCCGTTTTAAACATGCCCGAGTCTATTATTTCAATTCAATCAATCCAAACAACCTATCCGTCACCACCCTACCTCAAGAGCCGACTCGTTACCACTAAGCACCCTCAACTCGCACACTCACCCAACAAGATAAGTTTACAACATTACCAATCCTTCATGAGATCACGTGTCCTCACTAACAAACAAAAGAGTGAATATAGAATAGTCCACACATTCAAGTATGCCTTTGAACATAATTTAAGGACGTCACATAATTGAACAAAATTCGCTCACTCTCACAAAGAATTCATGTGCATCCCGTGGTCGTACCATAAGTTTGCCCGTAGTGTACATCTCTACTAATCTAAGCTAGCCAAATCTAGGATCAATTAGGACTTTAAGGTTATAATGTAGGCTAAGGGATGGGTAAGATACATTTAGGAATAATGACTAACCCTCCCAAGCACTTTAATACACTACACTCACAAATCGAGCACATATTCTTCTCAACCAATTCTCTCACCACAAACCATATACAACATAGCCCTTTTTTTCAATTAAGCACTTCTATACTCCCACTAGTACAAATTAGTAAGATTAGGAGGTGTGTGTTTTTCTACATTATTTGAACTATCATTTTTTTTTCTTGTAATTTTTTTTTCCTACACACACTCCATACATTAAGGTTCATCGGCTAGTAACCTTTTTTCACACTTTAGTGCACCAAAGGGCCTTTCCACGGTTCCACTCGAAAGCTACTCCCCAATCTCCCACCTTACTTCTTTTAGCGACTAAGTGCCTTAGGAGGTTAAGGTTCAACAATCTCAAATTAAGAACAAAATAAGATACGACTTGTAATGTGGGTGCCAAAGAAAAGGTCTATAGGCTCAAAGGGGCTAGCAACAGAAAATTTTATTTTTACGTGACAAGCACATCTATGATCAAGCAAGAAACGTCTACGTCATCTCCTAGACTAGCATAACTTAATGATTTTGCTTCGATTAACACACGGGGCAAGTTCTAGATTACACAGGATAGCACAGAGAATCACAATTCCTCACCCACACATTGCACATGACTCAATCAAGACAGTTCTGTTCAACTCTCACGTCAAGCAAACACATATAATTGAGAAATTTTAAGCAATATTGCACTATGTGGCATACAAGTCAAACAACTGTGAAAAGGCGTCACATAATAGGCTATTTATTTTACTCAGGCATCACAATTCAAATCAAATGTACGGGAAGATAGAGCGCATGCCATAACCTAATGTGTCAGCACCAAACACGTCAATAGGTATCTCAGAGCAACTCAGTTTCTTCCTAACCTACTCCTAAAAAAAAAATAAAGTACCCGATTCGAGCTACACCCTTGGAAAAGAACCGGCGCCCAAAGAAAAATCAAGGAATACTACCTAACTATCCTAAAATGAAATTTTTTTTTTTTTTGGTGTTTTTAGTCGGACTATATCCCTAAAGAAAATTGTCCAACAGATCCATCGTCGGGAAAAGTCCGAGCTTTTTCTATTTTTTTTTTCTTTTTGTATTTTTGTATTTTTTTGCTTTCTTTTTTCTAAAACAAACTAGACTAAGTAAAAACTAATAAAAAGAAACAAATTGATACAATTTATACAAAGTACATCACAAGCAGTAGTTATCCCACCCCACGCTTAGCATATGCATAGTCCCCGATGCATGTGAAAATGTAAAGCAGAGTAGGGTGAAAAGAAAACTCCCTGCTAGTCGGAGTCCTCCTCCTCAACATGCCCGCCATCAGCAGCTCCGGGTTCAGCATCATCATCAGGTCCCAGAGGCACCAAATCCATGGGCCCCGTGACCTCATCACCAATCTCATCCTCCGTGTCGGAGCCTTTGTGAGTGTTCTCGTCCTCCGATGGGTGAACGAGGTTGCCAGGTGCAATCCCCAACATCTCTTTGGAAAAACTAGACAAATCATTGCGTAAATGCATACGCTCCTCGTCTGATACACCCATCCTGCTCATGATTACTTTTAAGGAGTTATAGAGATACCTGTTGAAGTTCTCGTCTCTTTCATTCCGTGCTGCCTGAGGGAGCTTAGACGTAGTCTCCGACAAAGATGTGATGTCCAACAGCCCTTTAGGAGCCACCACCACCTCGTCATACCCGGGGTATTCCGGCACCTCTCGGGAGAGCATATACTGTGTGAGCAAATTGCCAAAGAAAAACCTCTTAATCTGCCGCCCTAAGCGTGTGCGGGCCATCTCCCCCAGCATGATCTCACCCACATTAATGGGTCTCCCAGTCGTCAAAAAGAATATCACACACTCGAGCTCGAGTGCATTCGCTGTTGTGTTCAACTGGCATGAGTCGGGCATGCACGAAATTCTGCCACACTTTGGCGCTCTTGTTGAAATCAGAGCGAACCATCTCAAGATGGGTATCGCCCTTAGTTCTGGTCCACTTGGCATTTCAATCGACGCCACAAAGAGTGTCGTATCGCCGTGTAGCTTGGGCTTTTGACAAATTTTTGTAGCCTCCGCAGGTCAGAGTTCTCAACCCCCAAAAAATCACATAAGGCCCGCCTATTCAGTGACACGTCTTTTCCACGGATATGTGACCTGAACAAGTCCGCATTCCAATTAGCATACAATTCTCTCACCATGCTCAAATTTGCATGGCCGGGGCATTCTAGGAATTTTTCCATGTTCAGTGCTCGCAACCGGCCAAGCACGTCCGGGAAGTTCTTTTCTAAAGCTTTCACATTAATGCCCATCTCGGAGACGTACCACCCATATAGCACGAAGTCCCTGTGCCATGCGATAGCAACATCACTGACTAGTTTCAAACGAGGCCTCGGTTTCAATGGTGCCTGCTGTGATCCTTCGGCAACTTGTTTCCCTTTAGCTTGCCTAGATGATCCTTCTCCTTACTTGTGCTTTTTAGGCGCGGGGGCAGTGGTGGAGGACTTCCCTACTCCCTTACCTTTGTTTGCATTATTACGAGCCATAGCAACCTACAACACAAATAAGCATGAATGTGAGAGAGAATGAAGAACTTCGCCTAAGGTTGCCGCGAGAGTCAAAGATGGCCCACTTAAAACCGAAGGCTCAATGTGCTATACTCACAATCGTGGTTTAAAACGCACAAGTGTTGTACCACAAGACAATGGGTACTCATGACTTCCCCATGCCGCATAATTTTTAGCTCACGAGTTATGCCACACAAATCAAGTGGTCGATCATTAACCTCTACAACTACGACACTACATTAGCTAATTCTACAAAGTGCTACAACATACATAATACAAGATACATGGTGTGAGCGACATGTGCACATTAAAACCAAGCTCCGAATT